TGTGTGTGTGTGTGTGTGTGCTGGGCATGTGCTGAGACGCAGCACTCTGTCTCCCGGTGATTAGGTACGCCCCCGTGGGCATCATGTTCCTGGTGGCCGGCAAGATCATGGAGATGGAGGATGTGGGCATACTCTTTGCCAGCCTGGGCAAGTACATCATGTGCTGCCTGCTGGGTCACGCCATCCACGGGCTCCTGGTGCTGCCTCTCATCTACTTCCTGTTCACTCGCAAGAACCCCTACCGCTTCCTGTGGGGCATCGTGACCCCGCTGGCCACCGCCTTCGGGACCTCCTCTAGGTATGGCCGAGAGTGGGCGGGGCCAGGGCTGGGCTGTTGAATCCCAAGGGGTGGGGCTTGGGTGGTGGGGTGGGTAGGTGTCTGAAGGCCCCCAGTGTTTGAGATGTCAGGGAGAAAAACCAGACCTGCCCGGAAGTCCATTCTAACTCAGGACGACCCTGTAGGGCAGGGTCAAACTGCCCCTGCGGGATACAGGGACTGCCGCACTGGATGGGAGTAGAAAGCCTCGTCATCCTCAGAGTCCCTGGTGCTTTCGAACCCTTGGCCTCGCGATTCGCAGCCCGACGTGTAACCCCTCTGCTGCTGGGTCTCCTCGTTTTTACGTACAGAGAACATCATTTCCTACGTTTTTCAGAAGGCTCTGAATTGCACTCCTCAAAGAAGCTATAGAAACACCTTCCTTCCCAGAAGAGTCCTATCGACTCACCTCCTCTCTCCTCATCCCGGGGGACTGCCCCCTTAGACCCTCTTTAGAATCTGGGTGCAAAAAAAAAAAGAATCTGGGTGCAAACTCTGGGGTCTGTTTGGAAGGGAAAGCCGCCCCTGCCCTCCCAGGGAGCCACCTCCCCTGCATGCAGACTTTACTCAAGCCCTGGCCCAGGAGGGCGGGCTGGTGGGAGTGGTAAAGGGGCGAGACCTGGTGGGGGCGGGGCCACCAGGTGAGTCTCCGCGTCCCTGTGCCCGCCTCCCGCCGCAGCTCGGCCACCCTGCCGCTGATGATGAAGTGCGTGGAGGAGAAGAACGGCGTGTCCAAGCACATCAGCCGGTTCATCCTGCCCATCGGCGCCACGGTCAACATGGATGGCGCGGCGCTCTTCCAGTGCGTGGCGGCCGTGTTCATTGCCCAGCTCAACCAGCACCCCCTGGACCTGGTGCAGGTCATCACCATCCTGTGAGTGGGAGGGGCCCCTGACCCACCCGACCCCCTCTCGGCCCGCTTGGCCCAGGCCCTCTGTGACCGCCCGTTTTCTGTACCCCTCCCCACCCCAGGGTCACTGCCACAGCATCCAGCGTCGGGGCAGCGGGCATCCCTGCTGGTGGGGTCCTTACGCTGTCCATCATCCTTGAAGCCATCAGCCTGCCTACCCAGGACCTCTCCTTGATTCTGGCTGTGGATTGGCTGGTGTGAGTTTGAGTTGGGGACTTCTGGGGGGTGAGGAGGCGGGTACTCTTGGGAAAATGGGTGAGCCAGAGGAAGAGGTCATTGCCTCCCAGTGGACAAGGGGGAGAAGGTACAAAGTTCTAGAGGCAAGGGGAAAACCTTAAATATCTTACTAAGAGGAACGATGGAGGCTTTGGGTTTCTATCCCAGAAAGGAAACCTCCCCAGGGGCTAAAAGCAGACGGATTAGCCACACTGCCTGTGTTCAAATCCCAGCACCCCCCTCATGCTATTTCCTATGACTTTCGGCTGGTATGTAAGTCTGGAGCCTCGGTGTCTCCATCTCTGCAATGGGGAGAGTCGTTTCTCCTTTGTGGGGCGATCCTGATGAGGATTAGATGGCTTCAAAATACAAGAGGGCTTCAAAAGTTCCTGAGGAAATTCCTTTATCGTTTAATCCTTCGGCTTTTGAAGCCCCCACTTACATCTCCTTATATGCCCCTCCCCCCAAAAAACAAGAAAACCACTGAATTTATTCCAATTCATAGTAAATTTATATAGGATTTGTAAGGATGTCACTCTTTATCCAAGCAGATAGCCCCATCATTCCCCATTGAACGGTGGGCTTGGTGGTTAGCCGCCCGAGAATTACCTACCAGTTCTGCCAGGCGGGGCTCCCTTAAACAAGGCCCAGCAGAGCTCACTGCCATTGAGTCAGTACTTTCTCATAGTGACCCTACAGGCCCAGGGAGAACCACCCTGTGAGTTTCTAAGACTGTAACTGTTGACGGGAGTAGAAAGTCCCGTCTTTCTCCTGCGGAGCTGCTGGTGGTTGTGAACTGCCCACCCTGAGGATCACAGCCTAACTCCTAACAACTGAATCACCAGGATTCCTACACAATGGCCAGACCATAGTAAATGCTGCATAACCGAGAGCCGGCACCAGGCTATTAAGAGTATAAAGATTGGGAAACGGTCTGTCCGTTCCTCAAGAAGTTAAAAACGGGGTAGCTATTGTACAACGCTGCTTGATAGGATGGAGCTATGGAATACTGTGGAATGGTATGATGTCTGGATTGGCTCCTGATGAAATGATTGGTGTGGGGGCGGGGGTATAGAAAGTTAAAAGCAGAGTTTTAGGGGGGGGGGGTTGCAGGGGAGTTCCTGGGTAGAGCAAAGAAGTGAAGCACCCAGAGAGGTCGGTGTCTTACCAATCTACCCGGAAGCGCCTTAGAACGCTCTGGGTTGTTTGTCTTTTTAAGTTACTAAGTGGGGAGATAAAAGAGAGGCCGAGGATTCTAGAATGAAGAACGGCTTGATGGCAAAGTTTAGTCTTCCGAGGAGGGGAGGAAGAATAAATGGGTCTCTCCTGAGACTCCAACAGAAGCAAATCATTGGTGGTGTTGGAAGAGGAGCTTTCTGGGGTTCTAACGCAGAGTTTGGATCCTGCTCAGTCCAGTCCAGACTTGGCCCAAGAAATGACAGTGAGGCGGATGGGTTTCACTGTGTAAATGAGGGGGAACAGAGATTGGTAACCGGAGCGGGTTGAAGACCTGCCAGAAATGTCACCTCCGTCTTAGAAAAAATAAGGGCAGCATGCTTGCTGAGCGGGTTACATAGTACCTGAGTCTCTTGACCCAGAGGAGTAAGTCCCTGGCTCGAAAATGGCAGCTGCCCTGCTCAAAGATGGCGGCTGCCCTCACCTAGTTCCACCTGTGTCACTCCCCCATGGCCCTCGCAATAATCACTGCCACACATCGTGCTCCTTGAAAAAGCTCACTACTCATCTTTCAAGACTACGCTTCTAGGACTTCTGAACCAATTTACACATGGTTCTAGTGAACACTCCGGATCACCCCAAATTTTTAAACCATGGGCCTCTTCAAGTTTTGCTTCCTTGGTCATGACCGAACCGGTTTGAAGCTATGGTGGGGTCCTTTGGACTTCTGGGGGAGGGAAGGAAGGAAGGGACGGGTCTCCGTGGGATTCCTAAAGAAAAGATCGTTAAGGTTCTACAAGGAAAGGACATTGGGGATCCTGTGAGGGTCAGCGCCTCGGAATGGGTCTAAGAGGCGTGGGCTATGGAGTGCCTTGAGGGAGGAGGTCGAGAGGGGTACTTGACTTCAGAGGGAGAAAAGAAGGCTGGGCCTTGGTTTCTCTGGTCTTTCCCACCCTCTCACTTCCTCTTGCTCCTTTCTCCCCAGGGACCGATCGTGCACTATCCTCAATGTGGAAGGTGACGCCTTGGGGGCAGGGCTTCTCCAACATTACGTGGACCGGTCAGAGTCGGGGAGCTCAGCGCCTGAGCTGATCAATGTGAAGAGGGAGACGTCCCTGACTCAGCTGCAGGCACCCCCTGAGGAAGGGAACCCCCTCCTCAAATCCCATCCAGGCCCCGCGGGGGATGCGGGAGCCTTCGAGAAGGAATCTGTCATGTAAACGCTGTTGGGGCACTGTCCTTGCCCTGATGAGAGATCATGTGGGATGAAAGATAAATGGACAAGATGGGGTTTGAAAGTCCCCCACCCACTCACTCCAGGAAGACAGAGGCCCCAGCCTCCACCCCTACATCAGAGCTCAGAAGCTGCCCTGTCAGGGGTGTATGGGAATATGTCTGAATGTGTTCCCCTACACTCCTCAGTCCTGGCCCCCACGCAAGGCTAGGGACACCCACCGCCCCATTCCAGAAGCCAAGCCCCACCAGTTCTCAGGGTACAGGTCCCGATGTGAAATTGTCTCTTTTTGCGGGAAGGACAATCCAACATTACGATGGCCACTTTGCTTGTGATGGTTGACGACCATGGTGTGTATGTGCCTGTGTGTGACTTGTAGCTCATGCAACCACCTACTGTCTGTTGCCTTGATACATCCTCCCCCCTGTCCTCAGGACCCTGGAGGGGGGCTGAGGACAAATACTGCTGTCACTCCAAAGGACACTTTTTTAGACTATCAAAATAAAGTGATTCATTCAGAAGCACAATGAGCTGAAGAGATTTGGAAACGGGAGCATGGGGGTGGGTGTCCCATGTGATGTCCATCGAGAATGTCGCTGATGAATTAATTCTATGGGTAAACATGGGGAATCCGCAAGTGTCCATATGTTTACAACAATCTTAAGAAATTGCACGCACAAAGAGGAAATCCCCATGAGGTTCCACTCACAACAGAGCCATCAGAAAGCTTACAAACAACCTAAAGAAAAGAAAAAAGTAATACTAAGTGCTGGTGAAGAGAAGGAGCAACAGGAGCCCATATCCCCCTTCAGGGATGCACAGTGGTATAGCCACTGCAGAAAGCAGTTGGACGGTTCCCTATAGGGTTAAAATACACGCTTGACCAAGGAACTGAAAGATGCAGGCAGTACCTGAGTTGGGAACACCTGACTTAGTGACTTTTAACAGTGCACCAGCGTGGCTGTTGTCATGAAACAAGAACAGCTGGTGTGCTTCTTCCATGTGGGCCGCTTGTTTACCTTCAAGCCTTTAAGACTCCAGGCGCTATATCTTTTGATAGCCAGGCACCATCAGCTTTCTTCACCACATTTGCTTATGCACCCGCTTTGCCTTCAGTGATCGTCTCAGGGAGGTGAGCACACAATGATATGATTTTTGGTTCTTTGATGGGAAGGTGAGCAACATGGAATGCCAGTTTAATAGAACACAGTCTTCTTGCATTAAGGGAGTACTTGAGTGGAGGTCCAATGTCCATCTGCTACCTTAATACTAAACCTATGAATATATGCACATAGATCTATTTCCCCATCATCATATATAAATGTTTACATATGTATGTGCCTATGTTTAGATCTCTATAAATGCCCTTTGCCTCCTAGTTCTTTCCTCTATTTTCTTTTACTTTCCTCTTGTCCCACTATCATGCTCAGCCTTCATTTGGGTTTCAGGTTTCCTCTCGGTTACATTGCCCTTGATCAAGCCCTACCAGGCCTCCTACACCCTCCTTGCCATCAATTTTGGATCACTTGTTCTCTTGTCCCTGGGTTTGTTAACACCGTTTTCTTTCCCCCACCTTCCCCTCTCCCATTGTCCCCCTGAAACTGTTGGTCCCATTGTTTTGTCCTCCAGATTGTTCATCCAGCCTGCAGAGATAATAATATGCACAAAAAACAAGACAGAACAAAGCAAAACAAAAAAAAAATGACAGAAGAAAAGCCTGTACATAGTTCAAGGTCTGTTTGTTGACCTTTAGGAGTGTTTTCTAGTCGAGTCTGATGGGGTGCCACGCCCTGGGCCCAACATCTATTTTGGGTATTCCGTCAGGACTTCCTTGCTCTGCTTCTCAATGTGGTGGGGTCAGATCGGGGGCAATTCTCACACTGTGTCTCCAGTGTTGTCTCCCGTAGGACTGTGGGTCATTGAGGGATGTCCTGTCTTGTAGTGGGGCCAACCATATGGTCCTCTCTGTGCATTGACTGCTCTGAGTGGGAATATCGTCCTCAAGATCGGGTGGAATTCCCACACTGTGTCTCCAGT